AACGCTGACTGACAGCTCCGCCCGCCAATCACCGCCCGGCAACGCTCGCCGCGCGCCGCGCCCCCGCCCCCCAAGCTGCGCCTGCGCCGCCGCGGCTGCCGATGGGATATGTAGTCTTCCAACTCAACGCCCTCTACGCTGGATTTATTTATATTAATTTTTAAATCCTCTTCTTTCCGTGTTTTTCCTTCCTCTGGGCACGGTGAGGGACAGCGAGGACACCCCAAGCCTGTTCATCGTGGTCATAAAGCCCCCAAAAGCGTGGGGTGTCGTGGATTTAGGGTCTCATCATGTGCCCCACAGCCATGGGGTGCATCAACATGGCGGCGCCCCGACTACTAGGCCTGGAGCATCCTGCCGGCTCTCAGAATTAGCATTCGAGCCTCATTCCCGGCTGGCGACTCATTATTCCCGCCAGGGCTCCGGGAATGTTGTTCTCCACTCCCCCCACGGCATCATCCCAGGTGGGACGGGGAGCAACCTGCCCGGCACCCAGCTTTGGGGTGAGTCAGCCCGGGCAGGGCATGGCTTCCCCTCCCTGCTGACTAACCCCGGCCCTGGGGAGATGCGGCTCTGGGGTGACGCAGGGTTTTGGGGTGGAAAACAGCCCGGAGGTGAGCGGGGAACGATGCTGCGGTGGTGGGCTGTGTGTTCATGGATGGAGGGGGCTGAAGGGCAGGCACAGCCCGGCACACTGAGGGTGGGGAGGCTGGCGCCACATGTGGGTCTGCTCTGAGGAGGAAGAAGGAGAAGAGAGGGGAGAAAGAAGGGGTAGTGAAAAGGGGAGGAGAGGCAGAGCAAGGGAGTAAGAGATAAAGAGGTGTGAGGGAGAGAGGAAGAGGAGGGAGTAGAGATGGAGAGGAGGGTGAGGATAGGAGAGAGAAGGGAGAACAGGAAAGAAGAGAGGAGGAAGAAGCGAGGCCACACAAGACCAGCAAACCCCATCCATCCCCTCTCTAGCACCTCACACCCATCCCACCATCTCCCTCTTGCAGGAGAGAGGCACAAGGAGGGTGCTCAGCACGAAGCTGAAGCACAGGGTGCAGGCAGGAAGATGAAGACGAGGAGGAGGAAGGCAGAGATCCCTGTCCCTAATTTCTAGGACAGCACAGCCACCACATTTGGGCACCCTGTCCCCAGGGAGCCGGTGACTCCCTTTATTTAGAACCAGTTCCCTTCTCCCAACCACCTCGTTCCTGCCAGGGGGAATCGAGGCACATCCCAGCCCCCAGAACTACCAAAGAGCCAGGCCCGGTGATGCTTTCTGCTTTTATTCAATTAATGCAGCAATCTATACAAGAAAAAAAAAAAAATAATAATGAAACCATGAAATTCCAAACCCTGACAGTGAAGAACCAAATTCTTCCTAAGAATCAACCGGAATTAAAAGATTCCCCCACGTCAGACTGTACATAAAATAATCTCTGCCCCATTTACAGCGTTTCACACAGTACTTCTCGTATCTCAAACTTCAGAACTGTACAACTTTGTTACAAACCACGCTTTTTCCTAGGAAAAGCTTACAGAAAAAAAATATTGCCACTTTCTTTTTTATTTTATTTTTTTTTTTTGTAATTTTTATTTTTATTGGTAACAAAAAAAAAATTAGAATCTTTTAAAAAAACAAAAATTAAAGTCAGCCATAACTTCTAAGTGTGGGCAGGGGAAGGAGCAGAGACATTTCTCAGCTGAATGTTTCTCCTCCTATCAGAGAAAGGGAACACTTTTGGCAGGTGTAAGACTTTGCTGCTGGTGGGGGTCTAGACCCCGGCCCCTCTGAGCCCTCCTCAAAGCCTGGCAGCTGTTTTGATCCATGGGCTTGGATAATTGCACCACTGACCCTTCTCGAGATGCATCAACAGTCACAAACCCCGATTCCTCCTGCTCTTTGCAGAACAGCAGAGATGAACCCCACCTTCCTCCCCCTTCCTTAGGAAAGCCAGTTCTCCTGGTCTGGGCACACGGATTGTCACACTGGATGTAGCTCCCGTCTGGGGCTGAGCACGGACACGCTGTGGGTGGATGGAGAGGTTGGACCACACACAACCACATCAGACACACGACAAAGCCAAAGGGGTCAGGGCTGTGCATGAGCCCACCCCGAGGGGCAGATGGGAGAAGTTTTGCCTCCAAACTGGAGCTCACCCCACTCCCTGCTCCACACCAGCCCCATGCCACCGGCCTGACCTGAGGCCTGTGTGCAGCCCAACAGAGAAAATCGGGAATTCTGAGCCACAGTTTCAACCAGACAGGTTACAAGAAGGATCCAGACCTCTGGATCTGTGTGAAAAATGTCTTCTAGTTTCGAATCCAGGTTTCACTCTGATGTTGTTCAGTGCAAAAGAGTTAAAAAAACCATTTTATCTACACATATACATCCATGTCTATAGAAAATGCCTGTACAAGTGGGAAGATGACCCTGTCTGCACGCTGGGGATTCCTCTCCTGAGGGATGCTGTGGGTTCTGCCTGCTTGCATCCTGCTCCTTCTCTTTCCAAGGTGTCAAGCCCCAACCAGTCAGGTTAAAAACCAAGAGCAGATTGTGGCTGGAGAGGAGCTCCTCCTGTCCCCCCGGCCACAGCTGCCAGCTCTGACCCACTGCAGGGATGGGAAGAGGGAAGGAGGGGAAAGCTCCCAAGCAGGACATGCAGGAATACCAAAACAAGCTGGGAAAGGAAACTTGCATACATACAGACTGCACAAGGACCAGGATGAGGTGATGGCTGGGACCATCTCAGAGCTAAGACCACCTCAGGATGCCCAGAGACACAGCCAGCACCTCACCCCATGGAAGTCCTGCTCTGGGAAGCTGTGGAAAGGCTGGTTGCTCCAGCTTCATTCTGAGTTGACAGCAGGGTATTCATATTGGAGAGGGAGGGATAAAATTGTGAGCCAGGAGAGCTGAGACCTCTGGCAGTGACCTCTGTCACCATCTGCACCCACAGCAGAGCCCGGCACCACAATGGGTAGGGGGCATGGCCAGGATGGATCCAGAAAGACAAAGCCATCAGGAGGAGAAGAGATCTCTGCTCCCTGCATGCGGTTTTGCTATCACAGGAACGCCAAGCTTTCCAAAACAGGGGTTTGTAGCCAAGAGCTGCCCTGGATTCACAGCAGAAAGCTGAGAGGGCGAGGAACAGCGCTTCAAATGCTACATGTGGTCTGAAAACAGCATTTGCAAGGTTTCACAAGCAGCAGAAGCACAAACTTTTGGATGTCTGGACTGACAAGACGTGTTCCTTGAGAGGCTGTGCCTTAGCACGGAGCCAGTGGGGGCTCTCACCAGGGAAACCATTGGATAATCAGAGACAGACACTGGGGACCTCACCAACACCCCCACAGCCAGCACTGAAGGTGATGGCAACATCCTCTGAGCTTGTGTGACAAAATCCAGCCTGAGCAGAACCCCAACACTAGGTGAAAATCAGCAGGGAAGGGACAGTGGGACCCAGGTGTCAGCAAATGTCCTTGATCAGCACTGCAGGGAACAACGCCTGGGTGGTTGTTTTAGACCAGGAGCCCCTCAAGACAGCAGCAAACAGGTTTCAAAATATATTACATCTTTTTATTGCCAAGCGTGCAGACCATGAAGTGTGTGGGGGACACGACACTAAGAAAAACTACAATTGGAGGGAGGGCAAAGCAGTAAAAATTTAAAAATAAGACTACTCCTTACAACTGCCAACACTTGGGTTCAAAGAATCAACTGGAGGAAGTTTTCCTTAAAAGTACAGCTCTAAATATGGCATCGGGCCCCAAACTTTGCAAACACCAAGGCTTTGGTCTGGGTTAACACAAACCAGGTGGGAGAAGAAGATGATGATGGCAGATGCTTTAACACAACTCCACAGGGCTGAACACCTGATTCTTCTCAGCATTTCCTGTAGCAACCAAGAAGCTCCCTACCCCAGGATCACAGGCAAGAATAAGTCAGGAGAAAGCAGGCAACTTCAGTGCTGGATGCACTGAACTGGGGCCAAACTCGACCCCTGCAGTGTCCCTGCTCCCAGAGCCAGCCTTGGAGGGGACAGAGCTGCTCGGCTCCCCCAAGGCCTCAGCAGCTCCTGTTCCTGCTCTGTGGGAGTGCAGCCAGTCCCTCGGGATGGGATTGCTGGGAATGCTGCATTGACTCTCTCTCCACCTGGAAGGGGCAGTGGAGAAAGGCTCTTCTCGGGGGTCCCAAGGCACAAGCCCTCACAAGCACAGCGTCTCCTACTCCTCTTGGCTATCCCCAGCTCTGGGAAGCAGCATGTGCTCAGTGTGATCCCTCACCTGGCAGCCCTGAGATTCCAATATGGATCTCGAGACAATGCTGGGCCTCGTTTCCTTCCTCCTCAACCACAGCACGCCCCCAGTCAGACCAGCACTGAGAAACCAGAGCTCTAGTACATTCTTCTCGGAGAGGGCAGCGCAGGGACACGGGGCTGCGAGCCCATGCTGGCTTGGGAAAAGGGTCTGGAAAGGAAACCTTCGGCATTTAAAACACTAAAGTGCAACAAAAATGTCCTAAACCCTTTGAAATTGATCGCAGCAAGAGGGGTCTGCAAAGCTTCAAACTTCCAGTTACTGCAGGGCACCCTTAAAACAGACCCAAAAACCACCAGGTAAGAAGAGACCAAGGAGCCCTTTGGTGAAACAAGGAATATGAGCCCACCATGGAATTTTAGCTCCTGGGGTCAAACATCATATTTAGAACATTTGGAAAGGAAAAGTGTTAAAGCAAAAAAAAACCAACCAAAAACAAAAAAGAAAGAAAAAAAAAAACCAACAAAAAAAAAAACCAGAACAAAAATACAATTCTTGAATCTTGCACAATGAAACAGTTAAACTTTTTGGTGTTTTCAAAAGAAATCCCAACAGACAACCTGGCATAACTTTATCTGCTTCCTAAGGGAGAGATGCCCGCCTGACCCATGACTCAGGACACCATGTGCACTGGACATGTTCCATCCTCACGTATGTCTCAGCATTCCTCCATTCATAAAAGCAAATCCTTCCTGTTTACTCTTCAGCCTGAAAGGAAAAACCAAAACTGAAGCTAGATGGAAGATAGCCAGAGGGAGGAGAAAGTTTTCACAGACTGGAGGCCAATCTCATCAGCTCCACGAGCCTGGGAAGTGCAATCCTCAGTGTCGCCTCATTTTAACTTTCCTGGCGGGGCTGCCGTCCTCCTCGTCCTCGTCACAGTCCTCCGTGTACTCGTAAGACCTTCGCCAATAGTTCTCAGAGCTGAAGTTGCTCCGTCTCCTATGTTTTGGTAAGAGGACAGAGCGCCTGTTCTCCTCCTTATCCATTTCTAGAATCCGTGGCCTGTGGAGAGGGAGAAGACAGGAGTGAGAGAGAGCACACTGTGACGGGATCCAGGCACTCTCCTGGACGCTGTCTGCACCTTACTCGCCGTGATAGCTCCACCTGTTTTCCCAGCACTGGCTACTGGGCAGAGCAGGAACACATCACCAAGCTGCACCTCCCAAGGGGAGCTGAGAACTTGGCTATGATGGGCCAGTTCTTTCCCTTCCCAAGGCAAGTTTTGGCCTTTATCTTCACCAGGAACACTTCCAGTCACCTCTTTTTTTTTTTCTTGTAGCTGGTGGCCCAAAGAAAAATCCCCTGGGCAGAAGGGTCTGTCTCTACTGCAGAATTTAGAGCACAAAGCTGAGCTCCTTATGGTGCAGGATCAAATCTCAGCTCCAAAATCCTTTGTCCTCTCAAACATTAGCACGGTGCAATTGTTATTTCTGCAGAGCTGCCTCTGATTATTTTCTAGCAGGACTGGGTTGGTGGGCTGCACACACCATTTACTTTATCCGAGTGGTTCCTGAGAGATCCCACTATGATATCCATGAGAATTACCTGTTATACCGGAGTCTCTGAGGCCAGAGAAAGAGAAAAACATGTTTTTCACACCCATCTGCTGCAGAGGCCTATGCAAGCCATCCCCCACAGCCTGATAAGGTCACATCAGGCTGAAGAACAGCTCTGACGGATGTGCACATTTGTCCCGCATGATCGCTCCTCTAATTGGACACCGGCCCTCTGCGAGCTCCCAGGGAAGCTGCATCTGCAGCCCAGCTTCAGATCTTCATCCATCTTCCCAGCCTGCATCCAGGTGAATGAACACTGCTCACAAACAAACCATCCCCGCCCTCCTCCCTCCAGGACAGGTTCAAACAGGGCTGGGACCGCACAGCAGCCAAGCCCTGCGACCAAGTCAACTTTTGGGTTGTGCCCATTGTGCAGAGAATGCCATCTGCATCCTCAGGAAGTTTTGGGATTGGAATATGCAGGAGAGCTGGCACACTGGCTGTCCCTCACAGCCATGAGAGTGCTCACACCAAGGTGTTTAAGGGAAGCCTTGCTGCAGAGCTCAAGCTTGTCTGAAACCTCAACAAGCAGCTTCCCTGAAGGTCACGCTTAAACATCCACAGAGTCTGGTTTCTCACACAAAAACACAAACACAGAGCTCTGGAATCAAAACAGACCTGAGAAACTTCCCAAATCCTTAACCTTTCCCAGCCAGCAAACCTTCACATTCCCCCCCCAGGACTGCTTTCATAATATAGTTTAACGCAGCTGCACAGGTTGCTTGGCAATAGAGGTCAAAAATGATTAGCTGCAGGGAAACTATTGTTCTGAACGACTGCATTATCAAAAGCCAGCCAAATCTATTGCTTCTTCATTATGCCACTCACAGGATAAACAATGTAAGCTGCTTACAGCCAGAGCTCAGCCTCCACAAGTCTGGGAGGAGCACATAAAGAGCTCATTCTGATAAAACAGATCCGGGCATTGCAGAAAGCACCTGGCAGGTGCAAAACAGAATGGTTTTAAATATGTTCTGAGGCCAGGAACCTCAGCTATGCAGTGATCCAGAGACACCATCCCAAACACTGCTCTTAGGAGAGATGATCCTACCTGTGGGCAGCATCAGGATCTGCTTTGCGATGGGACCGCTTTGGTTTCAGGATCTGGTCCCGGTTGTTTCCCGACAGGCGGTCAGAGTTATAACCTGGTGGCAACACAGAGCTACTCAGGGATTTTGTTTCCAATCGAGGCGCATCTAGTCTTGTTCTGCAAATATTTAAAGAGAAAGAGAATTTGCAAGGGGTTTCTACAGAATCACCAGTGTTGAAGCAGAATTCCCCACCCCAAGCACACAGCTCGGGAGGAAGGGCAGGAATACCACCCTCCACAGCACAACAAACTGCAGCTTTCTGGTACTAAAAGCTTCACAGAATCACAGAATGGTTTGAGTTGGAAGGGATCATAAACATCATCTCATTTCCAAACCCCTGCCACAGGCAGGAACACCTTCCCCTAGACCAGACTGCTCCAAGCCCTGTCCATCCTGGCCTTGGACACTTTCAAGGATGGGGCAGCCACAGCTTCTCTGGGCAACCTGTGCCAGGGCCTCAGCACCTTGACAGGAAAGGATTTTTTTCCTTATACCTAATTTAAACACACTCTCTGTCAGTTTGAAGCCATTCCCCTTTATCCTGCCTTGGCTTGGGGACACACAGGCATGAGATGAATGCAAGAAGTGCTGCAACCCCAGCTCTGGGACAAGAAGCTGAGCTGCTGGAGCAGCTGTGAAATCCCATGAAATCACCTGGCAGTAACTCACAGCTCCAGTTAAGCCACCTGGGTGGGAGATGCCCTACAAAAGTATCATCACCTGCAACAGTAATAACTGCTTCCACCTGGAAACTCCCTCCTGCCCACAGATCTCCCGGGGTCAGGTGTTCCTCAGCCTGACTAAGAGGTGCAAAGAGTTGAAGTACGAGTCAGGAGAAGGTGTAGCAAACAGAAGCTGCACCACATCCCTTCCAGCAGCTCTGCTGAAGAGCAAGCACAGCTTATCCCAAAGGAGAACTGTCACAGGATTGTAGCCATACACAGCTGGAGGAGGGGGAGAACCACTACTTGTTCTCCAGTGCTGAACTTCAGTTCCTGAGGGAGGTTTCCCAGGAGAATCCCAATCTAAACTTCCATTAGGAAGCACATCCAGCTGCCAAGCCTCTCTCTGCCATCAGGGAGAGCCTCTTCAGCTAATCAGGGCGATGCCAGTCTGGCACAGGCAGAGCTGGGCATGGCAGCCTGAGTTTGCCCAGCATGCCAGAAACAAGGAACACTTCCGAAGGCAGCTGCCAGGATGGAGTTTGTGCTAGTCCACGCTGTCATCCTGAGTTGTTCTCAGCTCCAGGGCTGGACCCAGTCCAGCCTGAACACCAAAGGCCTTGCAGATCCTGCCTGTGAAAAGTCAGGTGGTTTAAACAACTCTCAAATACAACAGTAACTGCAGGGCTGCAATTCAAACAAACCAACCCTCAATACACTGCAAGGGCAAGGGAACAGCAGCCATGCTCCCTCTGGCCAGGTACAAGGAGAGGTGACACAAAAATAGAGAACAATGTACCTACCTGACTTAAATAGAGAAACTCTATTTATGAGAGTGAAAGCAGAATGGCAACAAAAGCCTCTAAAATTGCTTTCAATGGGTTCAATAGGTCTCATTTCTATGCCCACCTCCCACGTTACCTCTCCCAGCATCTCATAAACTGAGAGCACCGCTCCTCCCCTCCTCAGGCTCAAAGCAGTTCCAAACCCCGCTGGCTCCCGGCAGCCCTGTGATCCAACACACAGCAAACACTGAGTACTGAAGTGTTTATGACCTGCTTGGTAAGCACACTGCTCTGGAGAATCCTGCAAAACCCCGCTGCTCCTCCAGCTCCCACAGCTTTGTTCTCCCACTGCCGTCAGCGAAAACATGCTCGGAGCAGAGGCAGGAGCAGAGCCAGACTGAAATGTCTGGGACCCAGCAGGCTCTGGCAGAATTCAGAGCCCAATATCCCAGCTCCAAACTGGGATGATCCAACCGATCTGCTCAGGAAAGCTCAGGGCTGATCCTCACCAGGAAAAAGAGGAAGAGGAGTTTCACGAGGCTGTTGGCTGCTCCCGAGCCTCTGGTGCTCGCAGGCCACCAGAGGAAGTAGCTGTTTTCCTGGTTGCATAACACCCTGTTCCAGGGAAAGTCGCATGATCCCGGGGATTGGGAATGGCGTTTGTGCAGCCATCCACGGTCCCGGCGCAGGCAAAGGGCACGGTGGCCCACGAGGTGGCCACCCTGGCCAGGGATAAGCAGCAATTAATAAGCTCTACTTGGCAGCAATCACAGCACAGCCTTTGGCAAACATTGCCATGGATTCACCAGGGCTACGCAGAAATAATTACCAGGGGGTTTATGCTTTGCTCAAGGGAAAAATCCTGGTGTGGTTTCATCTGGCCTGTCTGTAGGGTCAGCCCCTCACTGTCTGATGGGCAGAGACATTTCTGCTCTGACATGAAGCAAATCAGGCCCCAAAAATCAGGGTGGATGAGCAAACAAAGCCAGCAAAGCTACAGGCTCTGTCCCCTCAGCAGGAATGCACCAGGTCAGCTGGTACAACCAGGGACACCTCACTGCTCCTCCCAGGACTTAAAGGGGCTTATAAAAAACACTGACAACAACTTTTTTATGGGGGGAGATGGTCATAAGACAAGAGAGAAGAGTTTTAGACTAAAAGAGGGAAGATTTAGATTAGATATTAGAAAGAAATCCTTTACTCAGAGAGCAGTGAGGCACTGGCACAGGTTGCCCAGAGAAGCACAGGTTGGACAGGGCCCCGAGCAACCTGGTCTAGTGGAAGGTGTCCTTGCCCATGGCAAGGGTTGGAACAAGGTGAGGTTTAAGGTCCCTTCTTGCCCAGATGCACTTTGAGGGCAGCCAGGCTTGACTGAAACAATCCAATACCCTCGGCTTAGCAAGGCTGGAGAAAGCAAGAGGCAGAGCCAGTTTAAACAGGTGTGTTCAATATCTGCACCAGTTTGGGCACCTTTAGCTCATTTATCTGAGTCTGTCTGTTCCAGGGAACTGCTCCACAACCTAGGACAGGCAGCTTCTCTTTCCCAAACTTCAACCAAAGCAGCTACAACACTTGGAGATGCCTCCTTGTCAGCACTTGTGCTGCTTTTCCCTGGCTGTTTCAACACCATGAACATGACAGATATAAGTTCTTATCACAGCCTCTCACTCCAAACCTCACGTGGCTATACCCAGCTGTGGGGTGGTTTGGCTACAGCCTGCCTTTCATCCCACTCTATCTCCTGCCACATCTCATCCTGCCTCCCTGGGTCTGGGCTGATTCTGCCTGCCTAATGCCTCAGGGCTGCTGTTTTTCCTGCCTTCATTCCATGGGTTTCTCTAACCAGATGTCCAACTCCACTCCGCTGGCTTTGTGCCATGTCCTCATAATGTTGCCAGACTTGTTTTGAAACCAACTAAGCCATCTAAAAGCTCATCCAGTCTGAATCCAGACCGCTTGCCTGCGAGCCTTATGTCAGCCTGGGCCACAACCATAGCCCTGCCACCAATGCCCACGTTTTTGGCTGGGTTTACAGGACTCAAAGTTGTGTATTTTCATTTACAAAGACGCTTCTTGACAGCAGAATTGCTGCTAACACCTTCCAAGGCACAGTCTGCAGGGGTCAATGTGTGGCAGTCACAGTTTTTGGTCTCCTAGTAGAAGGAAATGAGGAGAGAGGGCATTTCTAGGCAGAAAATAAGGTTTTACTGAGGGACTTTGGGGAGGGGTTAGTTTACTTTTTCTCCATTTTCTTAAGAGCTTCAGGAACAAACATTGATTGATGAAATGCCATCAAGAGTGCACTTCTAGAACAGGAAGCCCCTTTCTAAATCAGCTTATGGAGCCTGGCTCCCCAACAGAGACTCAAAGGACAAGCTCTGTAATGAGCACTGAACACCAGAGTTTGATATCCCAAGTGTTTGGAGCTGGGCAGCCAAGGAAAGCCAGTTTGGGCCCCAGCATGGCTTGCAACCCCAGATATTACAATGAAGTGCTGCTGCACAAAGCCAAGAAGGGATTAACCCTGCAGGAACAGGTTCCAGCCACTTCCACCGCCAGGTACGGCACGACACGAGCCAGCGTCAGTCAGAGTGACAGCTAATCAAGGTGTAAGATCAAGCCAGCAAATTAACAAGCAAGGCAGTTTTCAAGTGTTTAAGCATCATGACACCACATCCACGTTTATTTTGCTGTCTGGAGGGCTTCAACACTTACTTTCGGAGGATGATGACAGCTCTCCTCTCCTTAATGTCCTGTGGTCGAATGCAGTGTGTGATTTCGTCGGCCGCGTACCCACTGACAACAGAAACAAAAAGCCACTGTCAGGGAGATGCCAGGCAGAAGCAGAAAGTGGTTTCCAGCCTCAACAACTCAGTTTGGCCAGTACTTCCTAACTTCCACCAGGAATTCCTCCCCCAGGCACACAGGAGCTAGACTTACAGGAAGGAACAAACATCGGGAAAGAATGAGGACAGTCAGGGGGTTTTGGGGGGTTTATGACTCAATTTTTCAGCATACCCCAGAGGAAACTGACACCTGCTCCAGCACTGTGAAATAAAACGTGTAGAAATGTAGAACTGTGGATTCAGACCATTAATTTATGAAGAAAATAGAAAGCAACAGGGGAAAGAAAATGAGCACATTCCTCCAAAGCATCATTTCAAACATGCCTGTGAGAAAAAACACCTCTCATAGCTCAGATGTGCAGCACACCCAGACCTAAACATTTAACAGATCAAGGAGGTTTCTTAGCCACAAAGGGGTGCAGCTGTGCTAAGAGCTGAGCCTCTCACCCCCTTTCCCTGAGCACAGACACCTCATCACCCTCCCCATCACATGGCCATCCTCAGCCACCACAAGATCATCACCAGCCCATAGCCAGTACTGATGGGGTAACCTACAAACTGAGACCTGCAAACCAAGCTGCACTCCTCTAAAACCTCCCTGTAACAGGGTGAAACAACTCCCTGAGCCGAGGAAAAGCCCAGGCTCAAGCAGTAGCTGTTGTCAGCAGGAGTGTTTCACCGTATGACATGACTCCAGCTACTCCACATTTTCAGCAGGCTGGAGAAAATCCACAGCCAAGGGCAGCCAAGGCTTCCCAACAACACACTGGAGCATTTCCTCATGGCTGCTTCTGTTTTCAGCTGGACTCCTGCAGCCAGCACAGCAGGTGAAATCACAGTGGGTCCGTGGAGAGCGGCCACCACACCTGCCCTGACACACAAACCTTGCTGGGAGCACACCCAGGCACTCCAAGGGTGAGAGCCAGCAGATCCCAGCGGTGGGGCCTGCCCTCTACCTGCCGTTTGGAGAGTGTCAGCTCACTGACAGCCTTCTGCAGACCAGGATGGGGAAAAGAGAAGCTGAACAACTTCAGAGCTTCCTGAAACACCCAACGAGGGCAGGAACACCTTGGAAGGCACTTGGGCGAAGGCTGCTCAAGCCTGCACACCCAGCCTGAAGCAGAAATCACCAGGCCCAGTGTCCCCACAAGGCTTTTCCGTGTCACTGCTGGCACGCCAGGGTCAGGGGCTGGCAGGTTATTCAGGACACCCTGAGCAGAGAACAGAGCTCACACGCAATTCTTCCCTGGGGACAGGACCGGGTTTCCTTGATGTGGTTAGATAACCCACCCACTCACCCAGAAACACCTCCTCACACACAGATTTACTGCTCTGTGAGGACAGCTGAAAGTCTAAGACCTGACCAGTTAAAGCAGGGGTGGTGTCCATCCCCACCGTGCTCCAGGTGTTGCAGAACACGGCAGCGTTATGCCAAGGGGCCTGTGATGATGCTCTATTATGTTCCTGGAATCTCTGCGTCAAGCTCCAGTGAATTCATGAATATCACCCACGTTAAAATTCAACTCAGCATCCTCAGCAGCACCCTCAACACCAGGGAAAGGTCTGCTCCCAGACCTGAAATCTCCATCATGCTATCAGCCTGGACACTCTTTGCACTCCTTCCCCAGGCAAGAGCACCTTTCCAGATCATTTCCAGAGTGGCACCAGCAAGTTTGTGCTCCCAGATGCACACAGCATCGCACAGCAGCCCCACCACTCTGGTCTGAGGCCCTGAAGGGGGACACACCAGTCTGCCCCAGCGCCAAACTGGTGTGGGTAAACTCTGTTTGCACTGTATCACAGACAGTGATGGTGTGCCTCTGCACAGGCAGAGAAATGGAAGAAAAGGATTATTTGGTTGTGTCATACTTGTGCTGCCTTGTGCCAGCATGAACTTCTCACTCACTACCCAGCCTTGCACATGTCCTGAGGGTGGGTGAAGGGGCAGACCCCCAAGAAAAACACCCATAATGAGACCAAGGATCTACACATAGATCAAACAAACCCAAAGTAACTTGGAAAGGAAAATCATGAATTCCTGGCCATGAGAACACCTGCGTGTGGCATCTCCATCCCGGAGTGTTTTCCAGAAGAACACGGGGAAGTGCCGACGTTTTCCATACACTACCCCAAAAACCAAGCCCCAAGCCCAACCTAACCTGTCAAACCTTACACCCCCAACTCTTCCCTGAGTCTCTTGTTCCATCCAGAAGAGCTGCTGCTGAGCCAGAATTGATTCACAGAGAGATAAAAGTGGATATTTTTGTGGAAACGTCACCAGAAAAGGAAGCCTTGAAGTTCTAGAGACTCTAACAAGAAAAGCTTGAACAAATCTCTGCCTCATCACCACTGGCACACATGGAACTTCCTCTGCACCAACAGCCTGTTCTGAGAGATCAGGCTATTTTGGAGCAGACAGCTGCAGAGAGATTCCTCCAGCTGGGAAGGAAGGAGGTTCATCCTCCAGCGACTCCAACCTGCTCTGATTATGCCTCCATCAGGCACGCCTCGAGACAACAGGAGGGACACACATCACAGCGTTCCCCTGCCATCACAAACAGCCAGGAGACGACCTGGAGCACTCTGCAGCTGCGGGAGGGAAGCCCGTATGGCACGAGCTCCCGAAACTTGGGAAGTGTTACCTGTGCCTTTCCTTCCTCCTGCAGCTGCACTCTTTCCAACACTCAGACAACATACCTGGCAGTTTCAGTGCTGAGATTTGCTTCCTGTGACAGCAGCTACAGGGCAGGGATCCACCTGGAACCCCCCATCCCAGCTGGCTCCACAGACCCCCTGCTCCCTCCCTTTTTCCCAGCCCAAGCATTCTCAAGGCACATGTTCCCCCGATGAAAAGGCAAATTCCTCCATCTCCCCACCACTGCTTCTATTGATTGAAGCTCACCAAATCACTGTTAAAATAAGAAAAATATTTTAACCCCTCCCTAAGGAGCTGATGGGTCACAGGACTGGGATCCAGCAGCACACACCGAGCTGATGCTTCCTCCTGGCCCTGGCTGCCACTGAGACAAACCTGCAGGAGGCACCTGCTTCCCAGGGCTGTGGGAGAAGAGGGGACTGGAGGAGGTCATCTTCTACATCTCAAAACTTACAAGAGCAAATCTTCCCTGCAGATGTGAAAGGAGAGGAGAAAGGGCCTTGCTGGAAGAGGGAAGGGCTCATTAGAAGGACATGGGGTGCCTCAGCCTTTGCCTTCTGGCAGAGGGGCACAGCCCAGCCACGTGAATCTTGTTCCACCTCACCTGTCATTTGAGGGCTGAACACTTTCTAAGGAGTCTGGAGCACGTTCAGTGTTGGCAAACACCACATCCTGCTTCAGGGCAGGCAAACAAAGTTGAGGGACAGGAACGGGGAAAGCCACTCTGCAAAATCCCTCCAGGGTCAGCAGCTATGAAATTAGGAGCAGGAACAGGACAGGGGCAATCTGGGGCCAGCCTGAGAGTGCTGTGGGGTCAAAGACAGGGATCTGACAGCTTCCTTTAGATCCTCATGACTTCCACACATGCCCTGAACAGACACGGCTTCCCCGGCAAGGCTGCACGCCAGGAGCAGCCACTGACCCAGCAGGATTTGAATCCCAGACATTACAGGCATGCCACCTCTATCTGTGCCTGTTCCCCATCTCCAGGGCAACTGCCTCCAGCAGCTGTTTATCCACAGGAGAAAATGCCAAGTTTGGGGAGCTGACTTAGTCATGACCAAGGGCTGGATTTGGTGACACACCCCTGAGCAAGGTCTGCACCTCTCCTCATTGCTGGGGTTAGATGGGAGACAAGGAGATCTGCTGTGAGGCAAGGAATTGATTCCAGCCAGGATCCTATCAACACAGAACAGTCACTTCGACAGAATCTCCCTCAAGTGAGTGTAAAGTACCTGCCAACTGCTGTACCAAAATTGAAATAATCCCTGTTTTAAAGTCTACTGCTTGCTGGAAGTCAGAACATCTGACCGTGATCAAGCTGCAGTGGGTGAGTTGGAAAGCAGCCCTAGGATTTGGTGGGAAAATATATTTAAGATATCTTTATTTGGTTTGTAGGATTGCTTCAGCCACATTAACAAACTGATTACAGTACTTCAGTGACACTGGCCAACAACCCAAACACCCCTGGGAGACACCTCACTCCAATTCCAGGAGCCCTAAGCCAGCAGCCTCTTCCCAGCAGTTTTGAAGGAAGAGCAAGGATCTGGAATAAGAAAACCTCATTCTTTGGTCCTAGAGCAGAGAAAGCATCTCTCCTTCCTCCTGCCATCCTCCACTGCAGATCCTCCTCCAGAGTTTTTCAAGAGGCTTTGACTGCAAGACTTGAGGCTGACCCTGCATTAGCAGCTCTGCCAGAATGCTTCCAAGCAGGATAAAAACTCTCAATGTCTTTAAAAAAGGCCTCTGGCTGTAAAAGGAAGAACAACTATTTATCCAGGCCTGACAAGGAAAGACAGCAGAGGGGTTTGCATCACCAGCAGGAAAATTAGGGTAGAAAGTTTCCCTCCTGCTATCTCGGAGAAGTCAGGGAGCAGAGCAGCTGCCTCACACCCGGCAGTCTCCATCCCTGGGGACGGAGCTTGCTCTGCAGTAAAAAGATACAGGGCAGGATGGGTCCCCTTGGGTCCCATTTCACAAAATCACCCTGACCTCTGCCCCCTGAGCCCTGTCAAACCACCAGAGAATGAGAAAATGTCCTCAGCGGCGTTCCCGGCTCCCTCTGCAGCCTCCCTCATCCCTGGCTAATCCACACAAGTTACCTAACACCGGGCTACGGCGAGGATTAGTTAATGTTTGTGCAGCTTTTCCGAGATAAAAGCTACGCGAGATCTCAGCATTTATTATTGATGCACCAGTCAAGGAGGCCGTGTGTTTGTGGGGGGAAAAATTCCTTCCCGAACCCTGCGGCGATCAATTTACAAGCCAAAGCAAGGGATTGTGTTACAGCCTGGGAGCCCGGAAAACCGGCCTGGACCTTCACCAGTCCAAAAAAATAACCCCCAGAAGGAGGATACAGTGCTGGCAGCGTCCCGGTGATCCCTGCTCCTGGCAGGGAGCACTCTGACCTTCAGGGACACGAGGGACTGGCAGTCCCTGTGCCAGGATTGGAGCTGCCCTCCCCAGGAGCTGGACAGCAGCGGGATCCCTGTGCTCCAGCCCCTCCTGTCCCCTCACCTGGCAGGCAGCAGGCTGAGGAAGAGGCGTTTCCCGGTGCCAATCCCAGCTTCACCGCCGACCGAGTGACCTTGGGCGGGTCACTCCACCTTCCAGGGCTCTTCCTCGACACACACCATGTCCTTTCCTGTGCCCGTGAGCCGCTGCGCTTCCAAGTGACAATCACGCGGGGCTCTGGGCTCCCTCTGCTCACCGGGCAGGGGAGGGCTCAGCATTCCCAGGTCACACGCCGGGAACAGGAGGCCACTCACACCTCCTCTCCACCGCTAAGGTCAGGTCACAGAAGCACCGGACGAGCTAAGAATAGAGCCAGGAGCCCCGTCCCTACCCAGCTGCTCCGCTCTGACCACTCTTGGGCAAAGGATCCATTTTGTGCCTCGACGTGTTATTTTAACCATTTACGGGAGCTCAGTGGTTAGCAGAGCCACGCTCCCAGCAGCATCTGCCTCAAGCCCCGTGGAGAGGGCGCCCACCCAAATCCTCACCCACCAGGTCGGCAGGACCACCCCTATGGATGCTAAATCTGAGCCACAGTGCCTGTACAGATCGCAGGCCGCATGGCTCCTCAGGCTGCCTGAGAAAGCAGCCTGGGAAAAATATGAGAAAGATTTCAAAACAATTCTTAGGGACACTGAACAGCCTTGCAGGTGTTGTTTTGCAGTCTTGTTTTCCCTTGCAGGAGAAGGCCAGGGGGGTGATGAGTGCCCCTAACCAATGATGGTAATGTAGCACTTTGCTAACCAATAAGAGTTTCCTTTCTGTACCCTTCCACGTATCTGTCTATAAGACAAGCCTGAAGCAATAAACTACAGAATTCTCGTGTTGAAACTCCCTTGAGAGTTTGTGTCGTTCTTCCTAGCCGTTCCCAATCGGAACGACACCCCCCACATGGCCGCTTCACCCCTTCCACCAGAGCCAAGCCCTGGGCTCCTCCAGGCGAGGCAGACGGAGCCCGGGGTGCGCCCCGTGATCCCCGTTACACGAGCGGGCCCCGCTCCTGAGCGCAGCCCCGGCAAGGCGGGCGAGTTACCTGAGCACCGTGACGCTGCCCCTCTTGACGGGCAGGAACAGAACGGGCTCCGACACCCGGATGGGTTTGAACTGGAATTTACAGCCGAAGCAGAGCGCCGAGTCGCTGAAGAAGGACACGGAGACGATGGGCCTCTCAAAGATATGGATGGGGTCCACGTGGGAGACAATGCAGCCCCCCGGCTGGTAATCGTTGATGACGGCACTGTTCACAAAGCCCTCGGGGATCACCCGGTGCTCCACCAGCTTCCTGATCACCAGGTCGTGCACCCACTCGGGGATGGCGTCCACCTCCCCCCGCGGGTACAGCCGCTCCTGCCCGGGGCCTCGCCGCTGCAGCTGTGACCCGTAGGTGTAGCCTTCCCCGAAAAAATACTTATTCCGCAGCGGAGCGCGATCCACCGTGTGCTCCTTGTAGAGCCCCTTCTCCGCCCGGGACACCACGTCCTCGATGCGCGCCTCGATCTTGGCGCACTCCTCGGCGCTGAAGAGGCGAAGCTGGCGGATGCCGCTTTTGACTTTCCGAGCTTCCTCCTCCTCCTTCTGCTCCTCGTAGTCGCTGGGCTCGGAGCCGGAGTCCTCCTGGTGCCGCCGCTTGCGGTCGTACGGAGGTTCGGGGGGCTCCCTAGGGAGGCCGCCGCCGCCGCCGCCGCCTTTGTGGCCGTCCCGGTAGGGCATCATGGACTT